CGGTATACCGCTTTCTGTAAGGTTGAGGATATGCTGTAGTAGAGTTTTTAGAAAGACATAAAAAAGTATTTTTTGTACAGTGTTGCTGTTTGTAACCTGTATGAATCTAATGAACAATCAAATTATCTTAAGACTGATGAACTATTGAAGAATTATGATACAAAGCTTTTTATGAAAACCAACTAAAAGTCAGTATCTGTTTTATAACTATTTTTCCACACAATTCTCTAGCATTAGTGACATTGACTGCACTTGCAAAACAACCACTTTTTAATCATAGCCAAGTGTATGTAAGCAAAAGAACATTGTGAAACAACCAGCAACTCACTGTTTTTTCATTTTTATTTTCCACAATATAGAAATAGGAGTTGGAATTGTCGAATAGCTTGAGGGTTGTGATCCTTTTAAGGGGAGTCTGAGATTTCAGTTTAATTCAGCAGTAGTTGAGTTCATAATTCTAGGTGTTGGAACTAGGTTAACTTAGTTTTTTAAAATAGGGGGGTTTTTTGTCTGGTCTTTTAACCACTTACTCAAATATGAGACTTATATGATTGGGTGCATAGATAAATTATGTTGCATAGCATGAAGAATAAAAAGTAAAAAAAGATCAAATTCTAATGAACCCTTGGTGTTTATTATGGAGCACGTGTGTATGAAAAGGACAGTCCTTATTTGAATAGCTTATTAGTGAAACCTACAGTAATAAAAAGCAAGTGTCAAAAAGTATAATTTGGTTAAAACAAGTAAAAAAGAAACCCTTCCTTTCAGTGATGTTTTGAAATGTTCCTTAAAGATGAACTCTAAATAATTTGTAGTAGTTAGCTGTTTCTACTCAGTCAGAGCAGAACCAGTTCTTAGGCTTTACTTTGTTTTCTGACAACCTTTTCAAGCAGGCTAATTGGCAAATCCTATAGAATTTTATATAAATATATATATGAAATACATGTTCAGCTGTCTCAGAGTGACTAAGAGCTTTATGCCTAGTCATACCTATTTATCAGTTTTATCTAGTCTGAATTTTCTTATATTCATGTACTTTTAATGTTTATATTCCAGCCACCTTGGTAGGTTTTTCCTCAGCAATTTGCTGTGATTGTATTTTTTTGTTTCTGAAACTCTTCTTCACTAAGAAAGATTCCTTCAAAAGCCTCAGTTATTTCTTTCAATATCTGTCTCAAATATTACTCAGGCATATTGGTAGCTTTCAGGTAATTTTAGAGTAGATTTATGTGCTTATAAGTAGTTTGTGTTTCATACTGGTTTTGAACAGTTTGCATTTCTAGTAAGAGTTTTCATGCTTTATTCTTTTATCATACTTAAAGAAAATATATGCTGTGGGTTGTTCTTGTTGATTAGTTAAATTCTTTAAAGTATATCCAATGAATTCATATATCTTTTCAATCCTGTTACAGGTATATTTCTATCTCAGTCTTAATTTGATCCAATAGTTCTTTCTGGCACAGTGGACATTTCCGGTAACATAGAGCTAGTAATAACAGTGCTTTATAGAGATTTTTTTCCTTTAGTGGGCTATTTCACATAATCAGGCTGGTGAAAAGGGCAATGTTATCCTTGAATGCATAAATACACATTAACATGTAAGAAGTAATTATTTTGCCTTTGTATCTGCTACTGTTAACACTACTATAAGAACAACTTTTTGAATTGTAATACACACACTTCAGAAAGTTAAAAAGCCCTAGAGTTCTCTAGCTGGAGGAAGGTGGCAGAAAGGCCACAGTGTAGTCATGTGATGCTGACAGAGTTCAATTTATTAATCTGATTTAAAAGAACATAAAAACAATTTCAGCATGAAAGAGGTCTCTACTGGGACAGAGGGACTCAACCTTGCTGATAAAGGCATAACAACATCCCCCAGATGGACACTGAAATAAAATTTTTTAAGATTGTAGAGGAATTAACTAAGTGCTAAAGACATCAGAAGAAAAATCAATTAAATACTAAGATGCAGTCTCTTCTTCTGAAGTTCCCTAAGCCATGGAGCTGGGGGCTTCTATGAGGGAAGGTATCAGTCTGTGCTGTCCTGTTATCCCTGCAAGCACTCACAAATGACTTCTGTGGAGGGAAATCCAGTTGAGCTGGATAACCTAGTACAGGTGTTCTCAAATTATGTTGAAAACAACTCTTTATGTGATACTGAATAGCTTTTAAGGAACAGCTTTTTTTCCTATGTAGCTTCTAGAATAAATTACTTACCTTTTTATGCTAGGGGTGGGTGGAGGTATGACTGAATCATTGTGATGCTTTCTGGCCTTCAAACCCATGAATTTGTGTGTGTCTTTTTTTTTTTTTTTTTTTAAACAAGGGAATACACTTGCTTACATAGAACTCTGTGTGAACTTCGTAGTTGCACAATCACATGCATTAGGCCTGCAAGCTGACAGGTCACAGGGATCAGGAAGAATCCTCTCTCCTTTCCCTGCAGTGTGCAGCTAGATGGGTGAGAAATGTCTGTCTTCTCCTAAGGTGTCTGGGATTGGCTGTAGCTGCAAATAACTTATCTGACAAGACTGAGTAGCATTTACAGACAACTCATCTTTCTTACATATTTGACTCAAGTGGCCTACTCAAATGATCAGGATCATACTAATCAGATTTGCAAAGGAAGGGGATTTTTCTGCAAGTCAAAGTTGCAGATAACTGAGGCTTCTTCAAGCGATAGTCCATAGCTTACATCTACACTAATAACTTAATAAATGTGTCAGCGACATTTTTCTTGCACTGAGGACAACTGGCACAGAACTACTTTGTGTCCAGTAAGCTAACTTCTCCAGAACAGAGTAGCTTCGTATATTTTGCCAGCTCATAATTGTGTGTGGCCACCTTCTGAACTTTTCCTGGGAGTTCTTCGAGATTAGTTGTTGTCGTGGGCCAAATCTATATAAGGAACCTTTTTTTTTTAACAATTTGATGGACTTTTAAAACAGTTTGATAATACAGATAATAGAATTTCAGTGTCCAGGATTGTGGTCCCTTTCACTTTTCAATTCAGTGGTATAAATGTATATTTTAGCATGGGGTGTGCTCGTATCCTGCCAAAAAAAGACTAGAATTTTTTTCCTTTTGAATTGCCCTTGGAGGGCACACTAACACTTCCTGTCTGATTCATGGCATGACAGGAAGCTATTGCTGCTCCAATTCTTGACAATCCTGTTGAACTGATAATTGTCTATCAGCTTCCTTCTGGTTGATGCATCAGTCAGAGTTGTCAGGGACAGCTGTACATCCATCATGCGTTTCCCACCTGTCTGGCGCGGCTCTTCAGCAGCCCTGCAGGTGTTCCCAGAAGTCCCAGACCTCTTTCCCATCTGCCTCATCAAATGACTTCTGATCTGTTCAGGGTGGGAATGGACATGTAATCAACAATCTTGCCTCATACCTCTTTCCACATTCCAATTCCTTAGCCTGGTCACATTTCAGGGACATATGCACCCACTTTATTAGGTCTTTGAGGAATAATTTTGCATGAACTTCAACAGAATTAGGTTCAGGCTCTCTCCTAAATGGAGAAACAAGAAGTTTGCTTCCTTAAATATGGAAAAGGCAGGAAATGTTCAGTAGAAATCTCTCTTTCTTTCTGTATCTGTGTCATCTTGAAGCTTTGTGACATACAAAACGTTATTATATTCCAACACATTTTATATAAGAATGCTGATCTGATTACCTCCCCCTCTCCAAACAGCAAATGGGAAATCAGTGAGAGCTTTCTGTGCATATAGGATGGCAGAGTTTGAACCACTTTGAGATCAATGCAAATGAACATTTGAGTTCAAAATTAGAGCTTAATCTCACAAACTGCTCCACACTCAGTACCTTTAAAAGTCATGGGAATTCCATGTGGTCACAGCAGTCTACATACATAGAGAGTCTACTGGATTTGTTCCAGATTTTAAGCTTTGTTAGTTTGTCCATGGATTTGGCTTACAGGCGGACCTTAACTCTTTTAGCACTGAAAGCTATGTATCTTGTGATCAGACTGCTATGTGATAACAGTCCTTAGTTTATTTTTAACAGAAATGTCTGGTGGCCTGGGTTAAAAATGAAAGCGTGAAGATTATAGCTTTTCATCTTTGTTTTCACTCACCATTCAAAAGAAAAGAAATTATTCTGAAACATACTACAAGGAAATCAGTATAAATCCTTGAAAATCAAAGGCATTGTAGGAGTGTTCTCATATCACTAGCCGTATTGTTGGATTGCATGTTCAAAATATGAACGTGTAATTAATGAATTGACTGCTGCATGGCCACTACTGCTATTATTATCTGTGCTGCAGAAAGCATTTTAATTCCATTTTCAGCTCTGGATACTTATATGTTAACTACACAAAAATTAATTGAGCTTCTGTATTTGGAGGGTTGTATCTAAAATGATGAAAATTCTCCTTTAAAGACTTTATTTAGCTTTTCACAAATATGATCTTCATTATAACATACTCTTAAGACTCATAATCATTGGAAGATAATTAGAAGGGAACTATAATGGCAGTTCATAAGATTCTTTTTTTACATAAATTGTAATAATTGAGAATTATAGTTCTTAATTAGAATCAAAGTTTAAATAGTAAGAGTTACAACTAATGTTTAGTTAATAAGTGTGACACTGTAAGAGGATTCCAATTATGTTCAAAAAGTAAAAGTTAAGTGTTTTGAATCAGTAGCAGTCTATAGACATGCTGCTGTAACTTCGTAACAGCATGGTAGACTGCTTTATGGAGCTGGTGATTAGAAAGATCCACTTTAACCATTTTTTTCTTACTGGCAGGTGTCCCACTGGCCTGAGGCCAGCGGCTGTGAGTGTACTGCAGCTTGTGGTTTACACCAGAGTGTAGAAAATGCCGACACTAGCTGGCTGCACATAATTAAGCTGATTGCGGTCTGACAACTTGAACTATGATACAGATATGTGATAGATACACAAAATATCTTACAAATTTGATTCTCTGATGTATTTTATCTACTTTCTTTTCTCCTTAACAGATACGATATCTGCACTTACAAAAACAAGCCTTGTGGAACACTGGGTAAGATTATAAAAAGAACTGTCAGCTTGTATTTGTTGTTTCCTTGCTTTATATTCAAGTATTGATTTATTGACAGATAAAATTTTTTTAAGTTTATGCTTTCAAAATTTTGCAGTTTTATAAACATGAGCAATAAAAGGTAACTGAGGTGGGTTTCGGCTTTGATCCATTGCTGGAGGTTTAAATTAACTGAGCTGCTGCTGTGTATTTCTTCTCTGGCAGCTCTGATAAAACCTAGCAGATGACTGAAACTTAATTTTTACAGAAGGGGACTTGCTGTTTATTTCCATTTAATTTGTCTCCATGATCTAGTTAAAAAAAAACCCAAGTAAAAGACCTCAGGAGAGTTAAAACCCAACCCAACCTTCTCCTCCCTGCCCCCCCCAACCCTTACAAAAGAAACAGGCTTTGAGGTTTACGCTGTTGCTCTGTTGTACACAGGGAGTACAGCTTCAGATTGTTCCTTTCACAGACTTAGGCAAAAACATCACAGTGATACAAATTACAGTAACATTGAAACTCCTTAAAACAATGCTTTGATAATACAGAAGCATACATAGCAACCTTAGGTACAGGATGGAGAGCTGTTGTTCTCTGCATACCTGAATTTGCCACCAAAAGTTACTTACTGTAGCATAGTTATTACCTTTAATAGTGTTTTAATATATGAAAGAAACCTTATTCAAAGACTAATGTAACTTTTTAAATTTGCATCCTTTCATAAGCCTCTTTCTTACATGTAATTAAAGATAAAATTGTAATTTGGCTGGTTCAGATTACTAATACTTTTCCCAATCAGAGCTCATAATTGGATTTGCTTTGTCTTCCCCTGTGTTACTAGATGCTTTGATAGCCTTAACTCCTGTTAATTTTTCTACAAGTCCTGCTCAAGTCAACAGGACGCTTCTGATATAGGGGTGTACTTCACATGGGGAAAGGTAACAGAATTTTGCCTTCTCTAAATATAAACAATGTCCTCAGCACCTTTTAGTAAAAGGCAAGTGATGCTGATGAATTTCTAAATGTAACTGATTTTTTTTGACATTTGTGGGGAGGAGACAAAACTGAAGAGGCAGTCAATGTTGAAGTTATGGAATTGTCTTTGCAAGTGTTAAAAAAAGAAAGTTTGAAAGAGATACATTCACGCACCAACTATTTGATATTTTTACGTGATATTTTTAACACAGATCATTAGCGTACTAGTACTTACTCTATCAGGCTTTGGCATAAAGGCAAATTCTGCTTCACTTGAGTCCAGCAGAACAGAGGATAGACTTTGGCAAATGTTTTATTAAAAAGGCTTGATTTTTTTTTTTTTTTTTTTAAATTAAAAGTCACATATGGTATCATTTCCAGCTCAGTGTTATAGGACCCTTGGCAACATAACCATGACCATTTATTTGCAATTTAGTCACTGAATTGGAGAAGAGATAAGGCCCTGTGGCCTACTTTTGCAAGCCATTTAATACGCCTAAGTCCCACAGACCTCCAGTAACTAAAGCATATATTTAAGGCGTCTATGAACAAAAGTCTCAGAGAGGTCTCAAAAGGTCAAAAGAAACCTGCATCACTGGTATGCTAGGAAGAAACAGAAGTAAAGAATTTCGTGTGGCATAGAAATCTCTCTCCTATTCCAGTTTACTAAACAGGGAATCTTTCATGGAAACTCTTAGAAAAGGTAGACCTCGGATGCCTTTGCAGCACATTTGTGGCTCCAGTGAAGGACAACTCCTTTTCTGACAACTCATTTTTTTAAATCTTAGCCATAGACTGAGTTATTGACTTGATGTCTGTCACTTTCTGCAAGCATGGTATGGAATTATGTTAATCTGGTCCTGTAAGTTACTGAAGCAAGGGCTTGGTTATAAGATCTGAAGATAGAGATGACTTCATAACTCAAACATGGTGGACTTTGCAGGGGAACGTGACAGTGGGGATATAAGTATTGCCATGTTGTCTTCAGAATGTCCTACTCAATTAGAATAGCATAGGTGAACTGTAATTATTATATTTTCTACAGGTTGCGTACTGCAAAGAATATACAGACATTTCTCCATGGATAGTCTTTTTTTCTTCTGATGTTTTATCCTACCCTTGGTGGGTGTGTCTACACCGATGATTTGTTTATAGCAGTAGCACTGTTTTGATGCAAATTCTACAGACACACATTGTCACCTCCTGCCCTTGTCAGTGTGGACATCAGAGTAGTTTCGGTGCGTGCAAACTAGATTTGCTTTGGAGAAAACTTAAAGTCAGAACACATACTCTCCCAATGCTCCATATGTCCCTATGGGAGACATTAGGGTCTTAATGACTACAGTATTCTCACGATATCCTCTAGTATTTTTTCCCTCTAGAAAGCTTTGAACCGCATGGATAGTGAATATGATCAGCCTACGGGATTAAACTGGTCCAAACTAGGCTTTCCAACCCATATGCAAACATGTGAGGAGCCTCAATAACAGTGCTTCACTCTGCTGACCCACTCCTATGGCTCCAAATTACTTGCTAATGTGGACACAGCCAGGAAGCACTTGTCATCCTACTGCTTGCTTACTATTAGTCCAATCAGAATAATTTGAAGTGCCTGCTCATATAAAGAGTATGATTTTTTCTCCTCCCCTCTCCCTGTTCCATTGCCCTGTCCCCCAACCAAACTTATACTCTTTCCAGTGTATTTTTTTGTTATAATGTAGTTAACTGAGCATGTAATTTCCTTAAAGAAAGGATTACTCCTTCTTTCAGATAAGAAACTTGAGGGAGGAATATGTTAAATAAATCCAATGTTTAGAGCTTTCTCTAGTCGCACTAAATTACGACTGCAGTATGTTGTGCAATACTCTGTTGCTGAAAAATGTGTAAGATATGGAAGAGACATATTCTGTAAATGCCAGTGGCTTTCTCTCTCTAAAGAAAGTTTATAAAAGCACTTGTAATACAATAAGGTTTTAATTCCAGAAGATGATAGGTGATAAATGGAAAAGACTTTCATGGTTAAATGAATGCTTGTTATTAACATGTCTCCTCTCTCTTCATTGATGCATTCAATTTTGTTTTTTTAATTTTTTTAACATACCATGTGGGGCTTTTCATAGCTAAAAAAGTTGCTTGTATGTTTTTATGAACCCACTAAACTTAAACAGATTTCTTTAGAAAAATAATGTGGATACATTTTGCTTTCTTCAGGCTCAAGAATGTTAAAATAGAAATGCTTTCTTGAATTCCCTCTCCTGGCTCAAGTTACTAGGTGGTCCCAAGTTACCAGAAGTAAAATTTATAAATCTAACCCCTAGTCTAGACATTTTCCAGCACTGACTGCAGTTCAAAAAATATTAATGTCTAGCCGGCAAAGTGAAATTCCCCCCAGTGATTTTGCAAATGACTAGAAAGTTAACCTTTTGCCAACTGCTTCTTCTGTGCATAGAGGTTATTAAAAAGAATCCAGGCATTTATAACTAGGGCTTTTAAGACTGAAACACCTTGGCATGACCCTTTGTGTCTCCTTCTGTTTATTCAGGCTTGGCCTCTGTGGCTGGAATGTGTGAGCCTGAAAGGAGCTGCAGCATTAATGAAGACATTGGCCTAGGTTCAGCTTTTACCATTGCACATGAGATTGGTCACAAGTGAGTGAGTTTAAAAAAAGAATACGCTTTAATGTATCACCTTTTTAATATTAGTTTAATAATAGATTTTTGTTTTTCCTACATGGCTGTACCATCTCTATTCTGGTGCTCCATGTTTCTGTATGTAGTATTAATGAGTGGCAGTACATCTTATTTAGCATATATTATGAAGGGCTTTAAATTTAGAACTGAAGAGTCATTGTTTACCCTTTGATTTCAGATTCCAGTTAAATCTGTGCTTTTGAGATTTTGCTCACAAACTTCCTACTGTTTCATATTTTTAAATATTTGGCTTTGAAAATTTTTTCCTCCCTCCTCCCCCTTACTTTTGTCTACCTTTCTTTATGAAGCAAAAGCGGTTCAAAGGTAATTTTTTTCTTTTTTTTATTTTGTCTTAAATATAATACAGACTATTTTCATTAAAACATTGATTCTGTTGTCAATATTCATACACTTTTAGTCATCTTTCACTCAAGCATGAAGTATATAAAACAGTCACGGAGCAATCATAGTATCACTTGTTACATTTTAAGCATCAGTGTATAATTTTAAAGAGCATGATGTTATGAGACTGATAAAATCTGAGTAGAGTTTGATCTGGAATATTTCAGGTCTTCCTTCAAAACACAGCATTGTTAGCACATTGTGATGACTCTAAAAAAAGAGTAAATGCCTTTTATTATCAAGAGGTTTCCTTCTTTGTTTACATGGGTTGACCAACACTGAGTTGCGGATGACATGTTTTTCCAATCATTAGCTGATGCAACTGCTAAAAGTCCCCATGCAGACTGAAAGGGGAGCTATCAATCTGCTGATCAAAAAAGGAGTTGGAAGTAAACAGGTATTTCCAGCCCACCTATCATGCGAATAATCTCTGGTCAAGTATTATGAAAAAAACACTGCAGTTGCACTGAGGTAGATTAATTTTAGAATCTAAAAGCAATTATGTAAAATCTGAACAAAAATAATTTAAACTACATGTGATTCTCCTCATCTTAATTTCTTTCCTTCTTTTCCTTCACTTGCATGAATTGAAAAGTATAGGGTAAAGGAGAATATATTTCCACTTTTCAGGAAAAAACTCCTCCAAATCATTCCTAGTTCTGAAATTCTTGTAAGTAACATCTCGTACAGTAATATGTGACCTTACTGTGAATTTGTCACATGTTTAACAAGAAAAACAATATTCTAATACCACATCTTCATTCTAATCCGTATGTCATGCAACTACAGATACATGAAAATAATTGAAATATATGCAGCTATTTTATCATGCACAGCTGGCATGATGACAGGAATTGATTTGAAGAACTTAGACTTTGTTTAGAATCAGAGAAAAACATTATAGTGGTAGCATATATCCTGTGATCACAGGAATTTTTTTTAACCATCTACATCTTTCTACATTCTATGTCTTTTGGCTTCTTACACACAAGGTCGTCTAAAATTCTGAAATCTGAAATCTCAGCTCTTTGAGGCATCCTGCAGTTGGCATGGCATGTCAAATGCTGGTTTGAAAAGAAAGTAGAAATCATATTCCTTTAGCTTTTGTCCAATCTACAGTGATTAAAGAAAGTTGCACTGCAAGCTTGGTGTTAAAAATGAACTTGTCATGTAGATACCTTCTGTAAAAGGTGGGAAGAGTATGTGGGAAAAAAATCTTCAAGGTTTATAATGTTTTGTACTATCTACTCATCACCTCCCATTCACCCCCACTGTGACTGAATGCCTCTATGACTAAATCAAGGGGGTTCTTATTTCCTATCAACTTCCTGCTTCCTAGCATCTACTAGAAGGTACTTGCATATGTGAGTAAAATAATTGTTTCAGGGAGCCTTGTATATTTCTTTCTTTGGCTGTACTGTGATGATTGCTTTTCTCTTAAGACATACATGGGTAATAGGAAATTTGCTTCATTGTCAAGTGAAAAGTAGAAGCATTTAAGAGACATGTCTACACAGCTTATGTAACATACAACAAAAAAAACACTCAGAATGGGAGGATTGCACTTTGAAATATCATGGTTTTATTTATTATATAGTTGCCATGGAATACTGAGGGTTTTTTTTTTAAAAGTTGAACTGAGGAATAAAATTATCTTGTGATTAAAAGAGAACAGTAATGATAATACATATATTTTGATAGATTATCCAGTTTCTCAAAAATTGGATTTGTAAGATTACTCATGGCTCAACTTGTTGGTTTCTAGCAGTTTATTAAATTATAGAGTGATGAGAAGTCATTAGATCATTCAATCTGACTTTCTGTATCTCCTAGTGTATTAAATTTAACTCATTTAACCCTGTCTTGGTCCAAGTAACTTCCATTTGGCTGAAGAGTATTATCCAGAAAAGCACTTAGTCTTGAAGACTTAAAAGAGACTTTATGGTCAGTCATATGTTCTGTTAAATATTTATAAGTAAGTGTTTTTAGAAGTATTTTTTTTGCTCACATTCCTTACCACTTGTAGTCTGTATATGTGTATAACCCAGTTTTGGTGCAGATAAGCTGTGTGCAGTTGAGACTCATAACCAGCTGTTTTTATTGAAGACGACTGTACTGTGATTAACTCTGTGTTTCTTTCTCGAGGGTATAAAGCATGGTGTTAGACTAACAGTTCTATGGTTGTTTCTCCCCATGCATGGTTCTGAGAACAGCCTTGTATTACTCTTAATACTTCTGTGAATGAGATACAATTCAGAGTGGGCCCTTCAGCTTTCACAATATTGTCTCTAGAAATTTGATGCTTGACTTACAGAATGCTTACTTTCCTACTATTACGTATTTCAGTTATGCTTAATGCTTTCTGGTAAGCGAAAATCACAACTAGTGATTCTCATGGCAGCAGTGAGCATTAAATGTGTATCCCCTGCATTGTCAAGCAAAGTTGGAATTTTTCTTCTTAGTGAAGAAAGGAACTGTGTGCAGGCTTGAATTTGCTCTAGACAAGTTGTAAGATTTAGGATCCAGTCCCCATGCAAACCTCAGCTGCATTATAGGACTTGAGTTTGCATGAGATGTATTCTAGAAGAGTGGAATGTAGGTGTTGTGCAAGTAGAAGGAAAATACTCCAATATGAGGTAATAGGGACACATATACCAAACTTCAAAATAGCTTTCAAAAATAGTTGAGACACAACTAAGGTGAATTGTACTAACACCACCTCCTGTCAGCTCTCCCATGAACAGATCTCCAGTTGATGCTGTCATCATTGTTTTATCTACGTTGATGATGTCTTCCATCTTCAACTATAGCAGGGCTGACAGACTGTCTCAAGTCTACAGTGTATGAACACCTCAACAACAGCCAGAGCAAGCTAAAACCTGTCAGTGCCAGATGCCTACGGTCTTGCTAGATGCCTAGGATTGATTGAGAATGATGCCTTACATTTTTAGGGACAGTTTAAGTAACTTTCTTTAGTTTTAAAAAAACAAAGCCAAAACGTGCCCAGTTTCTGTCTGGAGAAGCCACATAAGACCATACATAATCATATTCTCGCTGTCTTGCCCCCACTCCCCCTGCTCTGGTCTTTTTGGTTAAAGGAACATTGTTTTATGTCTGCCTTTAACATTTCAGGTATAAAAGGATGCGATTTCTATAAAAAAAGTCTCCATTGGGACTTCCATTTTAATGATGTTTTGTGCATATAAAATGAAATGTCTTAAACGTAAGGCTAGAAAAATAATTCTGTTTTCTGTAATGTTTATATTTACAATATGAAAAAGGCTTGTGTCTAAATATCTGCGAAATATTATTTGAAGTTCACAATTTACACAATTTGTCTAACATTAAAGCATTCTAATCAAGGAAAAGGAATGTAATAAAACCTCACAGGTCTTAACAAACGTGTAAGAAGAATAAATGGGGGTGAAGAGGAAGGTTATCATAACCTTCAGGGCGTCATGAATTTCCGAAGGAAATCTGAGCTCAGAAGTTTGCTTCCTGATTAGAGCCAATACTTTCCACTCTGACCTACAGTGTAGAGATGTGATGCATTCCCACTCTGGCTTTGTGTAGCTCACAAACCTTACTCAATGTTACCCTTGTGGCATGAAAGCTGGATAGCTATGGCAGTATAAACCATGAGGGAGATGTTTGTGCTCTACTTTTTCTAATACTCCCATAGAAGTATGTCATTTCTCTATAAGAAAATTCAGATTTCTGAATAGGCTTCATTTTTTTAGTAAATTAGAATTTGCTGTGCTTGTAAGAGCTTCATACATTATTTAATGCTATATTATGCTAATATATAAAAAAATGTGTTTGATGGGGTGTTTGATCATCAGCCATAACTCAGAGAAGAATGATGCTTAGGAATTAAATGGGAAAAATGTTAATGTTAAAAGGATGCTAAAATTATGTTTAATTTCATGGCAGGTATGCTTGTTATTCAATTAGTTTGTTTCCCAAGTTTTCAGGGAAGTAATGTTTCACCAAAGTCAAAGCTTTAGTTCAGCATTTCTTCAGAATAAAGGATATGGGATGATTCAAACTGTATAATGATTTCCAAATGCAGGAAAACAGCAGTTAAGTTTAAAATCCACATTAAGACAGGGAAATAGAAAGTGAAGTGACTGATTAACATTGATTCCTCCCTTGAGGGGAACGCTGCAGTATCAGGTAGTTTCTATAAATGCTATCAATGTTTGTGATCCTAAATTAAAATAAACTGATTTTTCAAGACCATACTTTTTTATTCTTTTCTCTTTTATTTGTAATGTCATTTAAGGGTGGGTTGCAATTTGCATGCTGTTATGAAGCAATAACCCATTGACTAGAAATATATAGAGGGCTACGTAGAAAGAGGAGAACTTTCTCTTATGACATGGTATGGGGGATATAGTTAAAAAAGTAAGAAAAAGTGCTGGCCTTCTATTACTATAAAACCATGAAATATGAGATTGCATTTCTCCAAAAATTTATCATAACATTATATCAATTCGCAAATATTTCAGTGCTAGTAGATGTGAGAATAATTAAGAAAATAACCATGTCTGTCTACACAGAAACTGTGCTTTGTTACAGGTAGTTCATAGCTCTGATATTGTAGGGGGAAAGAAATTCTTTAATAGTAGATTATGCTCACATCCGTGCACCTTTTGTTGAACAAAATAATGCTGAAACATGCTAGTTTTTGCCATGTTCTAATGTCACCAAGAAAAGGCAATTTAAAGCTATGGTAACATTTACAGATAAAAGGAAGCTGACAATTTTCTTATTTTTTTTTCGATGTAGTGTGTAAGTAGACATTCCAAGCTATATGGAATACATATACAATTTTAAATTACACCTTTTTAAGAATTATGAGAGTAAGTGCACCACACTACAAAAAATAAATTAATACAAAGTTTATGAAAAAGTTAGTATCTAATAGAAGAAACTGGCAGTTTTTACAAGCAAATTACAATTCACCCTTTATGTCTTATATCTAATATGAGAATCCTTGTTCAAGCATGCCTTCCCTCTTCTCAATGTAGTAGAGATTTACTGTTACAAATTTTTAAAGTATTCTTCACTGGTGCACTTTATGATTCTTCCCTGCCCTTTGCTTCTTTCTCCACAAATGTTGTGAGAGCAGTTTGTCTAACTAACACGCAGAGGCACTGGAGGAAGTTCTAGTGTATCCAGGTCAAGACACTTAGCTTGAAAATGACCCATTTCACTCTTAGTATGTATGTTTATTTTGTCTCTCCTAGTGCAAATAATTAGTATAATAAAACTTCTTAAAGTAAAAGTTTCTTTTCTCTCTTAGAAAGAAAGGTTTATTTTTCCTAAAGAGTTACATGTAGTTATGCAGCTGTAAATCAGCCTCAGATGATGGACAAGAAGATGAAGTGCTTGATTTTACAGTATTTCTTTTGCTTGTGTTCCTGTAACTTTGTTGCCTCACCCAACTGAAGTTTCTCAGTCTCTGGTATGCCTCTTCCTCACACTGTATAACAAATGGCAGAACAAAGTGCGAGCCACTGCTTTGAAAGATTTAGGTGAAATTCATGTAACGCGTGAATTGGTAAGTGACTAAAAACTGAACATACCCTTTTGTATTTAGAGAAAGGCAACATTAGTGCACTCTGCAGTTCTGAACACTCCAAACCCTAACAAAGCTAGGAAATGGTTTGATATGCAGATCAGTGCTACAGTTGGAAAGCAGAGATAATTGATTGCTAATGAGAAAAAGCAGTTCACTTGAGTGGCACATTTCAGATAACTTCAGTGCTATAAAAGTAACATGATATACAAAATAAACCTCAGTGAATGGTACTGAGGAGCATTCAGATTGGTTTGGATCTGTCTTCTCTGAATCTTAAGTGTTTGGATAATAAATCAGGACAGAAGCATCCTGGCTGTCTCACAAAAATAACTGCTGTCATTTCAGATACATCAGCATAAGTGTTTTGGCAACCATAATCGTCATCGTTTAGAACCACCCAACAAAGTAGTAACTTCATCTTAAATACAAATGAAATTGCAGGAACCTGCAGTATGGTTCTTTGCAAGATAAAGGAAGGGTAGATGAGAAGTTTACATTCCCATCCTTCCCTCTGCTTATATTCCAGGGTTTCTGGTTATCTATTGCTGTTTCATTCAGTGCAGCTGAGACTAGTTATCTCCCCTGTGATTTCTGAGGTCAGATCTTAACTTGGATGTGTATTACAAATAATACCCTCAGATGATAATTTTTCAGATACAAGGAAAAACAGAATGCCAAGGAAAAAAGAATCTGTTCCATTACAGATGTTAGTAAATGAAACAGGCACAGAGCGCTTGTCAGATATGCTGCCGTCTTAGTATTTTTTAAGAAGTATACAAACTAGAGAAATTGCAGGAGAGTTTCAATTTTTCAGTTATGATTTTAAAGTTCTTAATGGTGCTACTTTGCACAGTTCTTAAATGTAATGTAGGTACTCTCTTGGGAAAAGAGGCGCTATAATGCTTGAAAAAAAAAAAGAGCTGCTGGGTTAAACATCTTCCCTTGAGAATGGTAGGTAGAAAGGTAACTTCATAGAAAAACTCCTGTGTCACCTGAGAAGACTTTTCACCCTCTCCTTACTCATCTGGCTGTTCTTTTAAAGACAGAATTATACTGGTAATTGTAGACAGACTGTTTAAGCCAGTGAAAGAAAGACAGTCTGCATCTGTTTAGTGAGTTTGAAAAAAGTAAGTAAATTGTAACAGTGGCTTCTTGAAGGTTATTTTGTGTTCCTTCCTTCAGAAGCAAGGGCAAGTAGAAGAGCCTTCTTGGAAGAGAATAGATGATTTAGGCAAATGAATAGTTATAAAAAATTAGAATACTGTTAGCTTATGAAAAGGCATTGTTACCCTGCGTGCATCGTGAATCGTAGCTTCCATTCATAGACATGTCAGTCATACTGCTGCCACAATCAGCAACATTATCTTTTTCACAAGGAGAGCTGACAGAAGAAGGAAAGGTATTAAATTACAAAATGCTTTTTTTTTTTTTTAATAGGCCCAAAAGATACAAATTTCATTTCCCAGACAGTTGAAGTCTGTCATTTCTTTGACAAATGGAATATACTAATGAGGGATAAACTGGATATCAGATATAGTC